TCACAAAGAATTTCAATGTTTTAACAGCCTCCAAATGAAGGAAACAAAGTATTCAAGTGGTCTAAGGGTTCACCTTTAATGTGCTACTTCATATCACTGCGATTAGCACCAGCTAGCAGTTTTGCTGCTAACTCCGCAGAACTTTGTTACAAGTGCTTTATGCTTACTTCTCACAGCAACCCAATGAGGTGGTACTAATATTAACTCTATTCTGTAGATGAGGAAACTGGGGAATGAAGGCAGTGAAAAAACCTGCTCAAGGCCATAACCAGCTAGTAAGCAACAAAGCTACCATGCTCAACACAGGCAGCTTGTATCCAGAGTCCATGCTCTTGTCTTTTTCTTTTTTTCTTTTTAAATTGTGTGTGTGTGTGTTTGCAGGTGGTAATTAGGGTTATTTATTTATTTTAATGGAGGTACTGGGGACTGAAGCCAGGACCTCGTGTATGCTAAGCACACACTCTACCAATGAGCTGCATCCTCCCACCAGAGTCCATGCTCTTAAGTGCTACACTAACCTTAATCCCAAGAAAGCATAACTGATTTTGATATGAAAATACTTATAATTTATCAGGAAGAGAAAGGTTAATGCCTGATTCTTTGAAACCACTTAATTAATAAAAACAAATTTTGACTTCTTTCAAAATGTTGTGAGTTCTCAGTGAGTTAAAAAGCAAAAACATATCATGGACCAGCATCTATAGATAGATGTCTATAAAGGTAAATACGACAGTAACAGGAGTCATCCATACATGTCCTGAGAAGACTGTCCTTAACACAACCCGATTTTCTGTCTTTCTTATTGGATGAATATTGCATGGACAGAGTCACCAGCCAAAGTTGTGTGCTGCATTTTTTGGGTGAAATTTTAAACAGTTTCATTACTGATTCCTTACAAGAAGGCTGATTTGAGCTTTCCCAGAATTGATCTTAGTGTGTTTTTTAACATTTAATGAGGTCCCTAGCAGCATTATTCCCATCACAAAACAAGCCATTTAAACCAAACCGTGAATTTTATCACCCTTTAGTCACAAGATCAGATCAGATGAGTACAATTTTTGATAGGACCTGACTCCTCTCCATGAATGACATACTTCTGGAGTCTTGCTTTTTCACTATACACACGCACACACTCCATTTCTCTTCTAAAAGACGGATTGTGTCACAACACAGAAATCAAATTTGTCTAGAAGGCCTGAAAAGACCTCAGCTATACATACACTCTTTCACCCTTTTGAAATTATCCAAAGTGGTAATTATGTGACAAGAACAGATACTGTATCTACTCAAGGCAGTAAACCATTTTTTTTTATTATTTGAATTGGTTTAAAAAAAAAAACAAATGTAATCATGTTTGAGAAAACTTGCAGCCAGTAAAAAGTTAATTTTAGGCACCAAGAATTAGACTCCTAATTAGATTCGATGCCCAAAGGTTCCCCTTATCCACTAAATAAGTCCCTGAAGTGAAAGAAATTTTTTTTAAAAAAGATAAATATCCTTTCATGTTAATCTTCAAAATACACACACACACACACACAAACACACAGACAAACAAAACATGAATATACAGTATGATGGTGACTTACAGTCTGGATGCTCAAGAAACTTCTAATTTAGCAGATATGATGAAATCCATACACCAACAACTGTAGCACTATGCAGTGTGTAATAGCGGGTTTAAAATTCAAATTTGTTTGTCACATTTTGGTATCCATGTATGTCACTTCTCTGCTATCTACAAGTGCACAAAAAGCACCTGAAGAGAAATACCTTCCATCAGCTTTGCACACTTGCTGTGGCACCAGGCATATTAAAGGGGCAACAAATATGGGTGTAAATTTCAGGAAATCTTTATTTATTAATTCATAATAACAGCTAAACTTTCAAAGCATTACAGATTTTCGGCCATTATGGGAACATTCTACTCTCAATTCAAACTTAATTTTTCATAGCAATAATAAGTCATCACATGGTTTATGATGCAACAGAAGGAAATCAGTCACCAGGTAATTACAGGCCTCCTTCACCTAAAAACAGCACTGACACCCACTCAACCAGATTATACAATACTTGCTAATTTTTAAATAATGTGCCACATCCATGATAAGAAATAATACTCTGGAAAAAATATTCAGCTGTGTATTTGGTATGTATCCATTCTACTTTATAGCAAATTCTGCACATTCTATATATGTATACATTGACAAAAAAATTTTATTTCAGAGTTTTCTACACACACAAAAAAAATTGTGGGACACACTTACATTGTTCCCTCTGGGGTGGGAGGCATAGCTCAGTGGAAGAGCGCATGCTTGGTATGCACGAGGTCCTGGGTTCAATCCCCGCTGCCTCCATTAAAAAAAAATTGTTCTAATTCGGCAAAATTTAATTTCAGTCAAATATTAAGATGCAAAATGATCAGAAAAGACAGGTGTTAAGAAAAGTGTTTTAGAGTAAGAATTATGAAAATTTAAGGTTCAATGAAAAACACACGGCAGTCTTACAATACTCTTTAAAAAAGTGACTACATCTCCAATTACAGTATTACCACTTGGACTTCTAAAACATCCTTCACTTCAAAAAGTTGCAACATTTTTACACGCCTTACTTCAATACCGTCTTGAGCCTCCACATCAGGCACACATCACTGCACAGCCAACAGTGATTCGGAATGAACACAGAACATCTGATACGACCTCGCCAGTTCTCCAAATAAAGGGTAGGGATACAGAGGGAAAATGCAACAGACAAAGTAACATTAATAAAAAGGATACACAGGCCAAGGACGTATGTTGAAAAACTCCACAGAAACAGAAATAAAACAAATAACAGAAAAACAACATTTTAAACTTTATTGGGGAGGGGTAATTGGGTATTTATTTATTTATTTATTTATATGGAGGTACTGGGGATTGAACCCAGGACCTCATACGTGTTAAGCACACACTCTACTACTGAGCTATACCCTCCCACCAAAAAGAGATCATTTTTGATTGGCATGTGATTAAGGAGAGGAACTAAGACAACACAAAACGTTGGGAGTGTTGGAGCAGAGAGCAGGGAAAACAGGGATTGTTAATAAAGGTGGAAATTAGGGCTGAAACACCCCCCCCTCCCCCAAATATGGAAGGGATAAGGGACAGAGGCAGCAGCAAATAAGATCTAGGTGACGTTGACTGTGATGGCAGCTTGGAGACTGAGGGAATTCACTAAGTCTCAGATGCACTATGAAAATCCTGGGACTCAACATCCAATAGCCTCAAATGTGGTCATCTTCCAGTATATCCTTCACAGAAGTACAGCTATATGAAAAGATTAACCAACAGTCCTTGATTCATTAATCTAAAGATGACAATATCAGCTTTTTCTTCTTAAGAGGCTTAAAATGCAATTTTAAGTTTTCCAGTGTTTACACTTCCCATCTTTGTTAAAGGAAACTGTCCACCTCGTTGCACATATATGAAATTCCTTTAACAAGAGATGCTGAACCTTAATTTAGTGAGTCAAAAACTGTATTCTGGCTTCAGTCAACCAGTCAAGAGCACATAGCAGCAGATCGTTACAGTTTCTGAGACTGATTTTGAGGGCAAACTACGAAAAGAGGAGGCTGGGAACAAGGATGACACCTTTTTGTTTCAGACAAGCCAGGGTTAGTGAAAAAGGTAAAGGACAAACAGAAACCGTGGTTGTCATAATTGATTCTGCAATTTATCAGCTTTATTTTCATCTTTAATCTTCAACTTTATATAAGGAGCTTTTCCCCCACTGGACAGAAAATGGTATTACTGTAGTATGTAATGTGGCCATTTCAGTACACCACAGGAAAACCTCATTTATTGTCCTGGAATGGTTTTGGAAAGCATAAAATCATTAAGCAGTTAGTGATGTAAAGCTTAAAGAGAGATCATAAGCTGATGAGTATGTAACCGGACATATCAACTGCAAATAATTCCTCAAACCGCACAGAGATAAAAGTCCTTTCTCAATGTGAATGAACTGCCATTTTCTCAAACTTTCAAAGAGACTGCAGATTATGTTAGAATAGCTGAACCTTCTCATATTTCCCTTTTTTCAATTTCCCCAGAGAATCTGTCATTATTTCTCCACACAAAAACCACACCAAGCTTTGTTTCCTTTTCTTTCCCTGAGCCAATTTTAAGGCACTGTTCTTGACCCTAAATTCACAAGCCCACGCTGGTTAACTGCCAGTGTCGCTTTGGAACTGCAGGTGACAGATGCAGTCAGAGAGCTCACAGATGTGGATTGGCTGCAGTCTGAATCCTATTACAATGAGCACACTGACAGAGCCCGCAGATGCACATCTCGGCAGAAGGAGAGAGTTTTAAAAATCGTCATTCCCAATTAAATCCACTTTTAGGGCTCTTACTGGCTATCACTCAGAGCATATCCCGACTCTCAATCCTCCTTAGCCCTCTCTACAATTCATTTTACCTTTCTCAGTTCCTCATCCTTCTTCATCAAGCCTAATTTTTCTGCTACTAATAATAAAATAAGGCGAGGCTGTTGGCATTGCCAGAACCAGGAACCGATGAAGGTGCTATTTGGGAGCATTCCAGCCGCGGCAGAGGCAGCTGTAAGTTTCCTGGGAAGCGACGGACCCCTAGCATCTCTGCACGATTTCTCTTCCCCTGGGTGAGGGCTCCATAGAGACAGATGGGCAATCTCCCTTCCGTCTTTCGCAGTGGTGGCTAACAGGAAAAATACAACACCTCTTTTCTTATCCCACACCCCGCTGGATAACGCTCCCAGGCAGTGACGCCCCACCCCCACCCCGTTATCCCTGATGAGATCCCCAAATAACACCCTGTCCTCCCAAGAACTGGACCCTCCCTCGGCCCCCGGACCGATTCCCCGCAGCTGAGCGCCTCTCCTCCAGGCATCCGCCCCCGCACACCCCGCCCGCAGCGCGGCCCCGGCTCCGCACACGCCCGCCCCGCGCCCAGAC